AAGCATTTGTTCTTTCAACTGTCAAAAAAAATAGTTCCTTTTTTAATTCCTTTATGAATTATCATATGTAACCATGCTGTAGGTCAGGTCTCATATAGGACCCACTGTGGATATGAGGTTGATTTTATTTAATCCTAGCATAGTTTGTTTTATTTAGTGTCAACTACAATAAATATTGAAATTTTTTAGAATAATTTTTTGAGAAATAACAATGAAACAGTTTCAAAATCGATTAGTAGGACAGTTTCAATAATTACTGCATTACATATTGTTGTCTTAGTGGTTATTCACTGTACAAGATGCAGACATGATATCCTGTCCACAAACACTTTTAGAACAAATCCTTCTATTCGGTGAATTAAGAGAAAGTCGCTGTAATATCTATCCTAACTATTTTGAATATATGGATACAAAATGGCCGTTCATTTGTATCCCCTTTTTTTGTTTTTGTTAGAGAAGGGTATTCCATTGTCATTTAAATTTTGTAACTACTGCACTATATTGGAATATTTTGCTGAATTAACACACCTACAATATTGAAATCTTAATATGACTTATCTTGAATTAATTTCCTTTTCCTTTGAACCACAAGATTTGACATAAGACTTTCCTTTTATAAATCTCTCTGGATGAGGACCACCTTTCTTCTGTCTCTCACTTCCTGAAAGTTGAGAGCAAAGGATTTTAGGATTGCTTAGGGTGCTGCCGTTCTCTATTTAAGACTATAAAATACTAGATGTAACACTTGAAACTCAGTTACTTGCAGAAATTTAATTGTAAATATCTGAGCACCGGAATGAAAACAACATTTTTTTTTTTTTTTGCAGGCAAGGAATGCTTTATTCTCACCATAGTAGAGGAGAATGAGGGGACTTGGAGGCAGCAGTAGTGCCCCTCCCCGTCTCAGCACTCTCCTCCTTGGCCCTGGCCAGACACCAGGCAGCAGTAGCAGCAGCAGGTTGTAGGGAACAAGGGTGGGCTGTTAGTCTGCCGGCTGGTACCCATGCCCATGGAGGGTGTGCGTAGGGCCCCAATTATGAGCCAGAGACTCATGAAGGGATTCATTCAACTGTGAAGATGTGACTGGAGATGTCATCCAGGATCCAGTTGATGTCCTATAGCAGGTTCTCCCCAGTGACAGCACTGCAGCCCTGGATGCATCAGTGGTGGCTGCGGATGGAATCCAACTCCAGGGCCTCTTGAATGGAGTTAGAGGACAGCGCTCCTGGCAGGTCCTGCTTGTTGGCGAAGATGAGGAGGGTGTCTCCAGCCAGGTGCTCCTCCACAAGCAGGCCCTGCAGCTCCCCAGCACAGTCCTGCAGGGGCTGCCGGTCAGTACTCTCCACCGCCCAGATAAGGCCATCAGTGCTCTCGAAGTAGTTCCGCCAATAGGAGCGCAGTGACTTCTGGCCACCCACGTCCAAGATGTTCAATTTGAACCCTCAGTGCTTCAGGGTCTTGATGTTGAAGCCAAGCGTTGGAGAGATGGTGTCCACATCTTCCCCATTGAACTTCTTGGGAATGATGGTTTTGCCAGCATTGTCCAGGCCAAGCAGGAGCAGTCTCAGTTCTCGTTCTTTCTACTTCATCTTCTTCAGGATGGTCAAAAGGCCAACAACACATTATTAATAATTATTAACATCTTTAATTTTTTTTACTTTTAAAGAGAATAAAAAATAGTAAAAAACCACATTAGAAATGATATAGAATTTCACTAAACAAAAGAATAGGAATTCAGCAATGGTTGTTATATTGCATAATGTCTTCAGATCAGTTGCTTAGATTACCAGATATGCAAAAGTGATTTTTAAGGAAGTTATAAGAAATTAAAAAGAAAAATATCTAAGCATTAGCTACTCCTTTCAATAGACTAGCAGAAATCAGCAGTACAGTTATCCAAGCTATCCTGTATGTATACATAAATATATCATTTTTCCCTCCTTTCTTTCATTTGTCCTTTTCCTCATCCTATTTGTTCCTTCTCCTTGAACAGATTCTTCACCTTTCACAGAATCTATTGTATCTTTCTGATTTTATTTACTCTTTCTAGTTCTTACCACAGCAAGACAATAGGATGCAGGTCTGATTTATTTCATTTATGAGTATGATCTAAAATCTTGATAACTAGCAGTATATCTTAGTAACATGAGCATTTGTGTATCAATGTGTTAGCAGTTCCCTAAACTTGAAATAATCATTGTGAAGTACAGCATTATCACTATCTTAAGGGACCTGCTAAAAGGAAACATCCTAAGATCACGTATAGTCATTGTATGGTAATTCTATAAGTATTCTTCAAGGAAATCCAGGCTTCTTGACTTCACTTACAGTAATAGATACAAAATCTATGAGGTATCTGATTGAAGGTAGAATGAAGAGAAGTGGCAGAAGCATAATTACTACAGATTGAACATTTTTTTCCTCTATGGTATTGGGGATTCAGTCCAAGGCTTTTAGGTACCTCCCCAGTCCTTTGAAGTCAGCCTGGACTACTTAATGAGATCTTGTCATAGAAGAAAGAGAAAGAAAAACAGAGACAGACAGAGAAAAGGAAAAAGGCAAAAAGGGAGAAGGGGGAAAAAGCAAGAAGAAAAAGAAAACAATTTGGAAAGTTTCAGGATTGGGAAATAGTCCGTGATTTAGACATAAAGAATAAAAATCAGCGAGTGAGTCAAAGGCAGCCCAACATGGTCATTAAAAGCATCCCTTTGAAGTAAAGTAGACCTTACTATATCTGTTACCTTAAGCAATAACAACAATAAACATAGTAAAACTTTACAGTGGTAATTGTATGCTAGGCATTGTGCTAATCTTATTATAATATAAAATAAATGTATTATCTCATAAGGAAGAATGTAATGCATTGAAAAGCTAAAGTTAATATACTACTTAATATTTTTCAAACCTTATTTCATCCCTGAAATGGGGATAATTATGATTTAAGAGGATTAAATAATTTGATATGTAAAAACATCCCATTAGTTCATTGTTGTAAGTGGTACATACTCAAAATATGGCACAACTAGAGCTGGGTGTGGTGATACATAACAGCAATTTTGGTACTGAGGAGGCTGAGGTAGAAGGATCACTGTGAAATCAAGGCCAGCCTGGGCTACATTGTGAGACTCTACCTCAAGAAAATAACAAAAAAATGAAACAATTGTTGTTTCTGAGAACATGCTGTATGAGCCATTTCGTCTTCATGTGACACTTGAATTTCTTTTGGAACACAGGACTCCCTGGACCAATCGTCCCCCCACCTGTAGGTTACCCAGGAGGCTTGCCTAAAGGATACTACAGCCCACAGCAGCCCGCTACCTTTCCCTTGTACCAGCCAACTGGTAGCAACCATCCTATCGAGTATCAGCCTGGAAAATATCCTACACCAAATCAGTTTGCTCCGGTAACGTGGATGCCAGCACCAACCCCGATGCTGAACTGCCCTCCTGGTCTGGAATACTTAGCTCAGGTACTCCCCACAATTCCAAATAGTTTTCTTATGAAGTAAGACCTCAGGGCTCTAACAAGAAGAGACAAAAGTCTGGGGAGAATGAAACAGGATGAGCCAGTGATGACAGGTCTAGTTTATGAGATTGTAGCAATGTGAAGGAGGAACAGTGGGTGTAGAGGTGTTCTTAATGGATAAATAAAGTCTTCATAAAAGAATCAGGTTGACTTTTAAGACACTACTCACTGCAGCAAGCAAATGTTGTGCAATGTATCAGCCAGCTCTTTGTCTTTTAAAGACAAGCTGGAAGCAATTATTTTTCTTGTCTGAACAACTCTGCTAATATCAATCTGATCAAAAATAGATAAGCTAATTTTTATTGATGTTTTATCCCATTCATATTTATTTATTTTTATATATTTTGTTGTTATAGGGTCTCACTACGTAGCTCTGGCTCATGGTGATCCTCCTGTTTTCAGCCTCCCCAGATGTGGGATTACATCCTGCCCTGGGGGCGGGGCAGGGAAGGCATGGCACGTGGTGCTGGGGATCAAACCGTGGTCGCTGTGTTTGCCTAAGCAGGCGCTTTAGTCTACTGAGCTATCACACAGGCCCTATCCCATTCATTTATTTATTTACTTTTTTTGGGTGGGAGCAGAGTAAAGTAAAACAAGTTCCATAATTTATTTATTTATTTATATTATTATTTGTATTTTTAGGGAAGGGTCTACAGGGTGTTCAGGGTCTCACTACTAGATCAGACTCGTAGTGATCCGCCTGTTTACAGCCTCCCAAGTGCTGGAATTATAGGCGCACACAACCACACCCAGTCTCAATTGCCATCTCAGTGCACTCCAGGGGTGGGGCCAGGACTGCAGGCCCAGGGGATCCAGCTCCTGGCCCCTGAACCTGCTTGCAAGTGCTTTATTTATTTATTTTTTAATTAATTTTACTGAGAAACAAATAGTAATGAGATAGTTTCAAAACCGATTAGTAGGACAGTTTCAATAATTAATACATTGCATATTGTTGTCTTTGTAGTGGCTATTCATAGTACAAGATGGAGACATGATAACCTGTCCAAACACTACTAGTAAAAATCTTTCTTCTCATTGAATTAAGACAGTAGCTGTATATCTATCCTGTTTTGTATATACAGATATAAAATGATCCTTCATTTGTATCCCCTGTTTTGGTTTAGTCTTCTCAGAGATGGGTATTCCATTGCCATTTAAATATTGTAGGTGCATGAATTCAGCAAAATAATCTAATATAGTGCAGTAGTCCATAATAGTAGTGGGTTTTCCTTTAGACTGGCAATGTCAGAAGTTGTTGACTTGAGCATTTTACAGCTCAGCATATTAATATGGCTTTACTTTTTATACCTCGATTTTATACTTTTCTGCTAGATGGTTAAGACCAAGATAAAGCAAGACCTATATGAAAGAAATGTAACTTTGTATCTGCCAAGGTCAGTCAAATTCCCTCAGGATTTATCCTGAGACCCTGTACTGCAGTTTGTAGATCCTTTGTCAGTGTCGGCCATGTTATCCCATTCATTTTAAAAAAGATTTTTCTTTTTTGGTATCAATTGACACGGTTAATTGGTTATTAGTTTCTGTTCTAATGTTCATTAGATTTGATTTTTTCCATTTTCTAATTGTGTTTGTTCTGTTCCTACAGTTGGACAACATACATGTTCTTCAGCATTTTGATCCTCTGGAACGTATGTACACATTGTTATGTTTAGTACTCTTATCAAAGGTGCAAATTTACATTGCCTAATATTTAGTTCCTTCTTTGTATTAATGAGGTTTTCATTGGGAGTTTATTCTATTAGTCTGTCTTCAAGAAAGCAATAAAGCAAATTATTTTGTCTAATTTTATCTATCTATGCACCATCCACTCATAAGCCCTTAGACCTGGGAAGTCCTGCACCCACCCCACCCTTTACCCAATCTTCCTCCTCCATATTTACCCCTCATAGATAAGTAAAGGAAGGTGCCCAGGGACTAAATGGATTAACTAAGCACATTATGATCAGCTGTGAGTAGCAGAGCTGGGCATAAACCTCAGTATGCTTAATTCTAGTCGACTGCCCTTACTTGGACATAAGGAAAAAAGATGACAGTCAGAATGACACTTGCTCTGAGCTCATTCTTACAGGAACCCTGACCTGAACAGTATCACCTCTACTCATTCACTCAGCTACCATATTGGACTTTAATGTTTCTTGGCACTTCTTTTCTACACTTAGTCATGGCCCTTGTCATTTCAACTTATTCCGTGAGGTGATTAACTTATGCTTCAGTGTGTAATCGTATTTAAATGGTTTTATAATTAAAGATTGCAGATTTTTAACCTTTCACCAGGAATATTTTTTTAACTGGTTATGTGGGAAAGCTTTCAAAATCATTTTACAGTGACTTTATTTTATTTTTTAAAATTTTTTGTGGCACTGGGGACTGAACTCAGGACCTTGTGCTTGCTAGGAAAGTGCTTTTCTACCAAGCTATCTCCCTAGCCATTATAGTGACTTTAGAAAAATATCCTCAGATTCCAAAATTGCTTGACACTTGCAAGTCATATGAATTTTTCTGTGTATTCTAATCAATGGCATATATTGCACCTGATTTTTTTTTTTTTTTTTTTTTTAGGGCAGGGTGTACAGGGTGTACAAGGTCTCACTGTGTAGATCCGACTCATAGTGATCCTCCTGTTCACAGCTTCCCAAGTGCTGGGATTACAGGCCGTACCACCACACCCAGTCTCCATCACTGTCTCAGTGCTCCCGGGGGTGGGGCTGGCACGGCAGGCCAGGGGGTTGAACCTGAAATTTTTAAAAGCCTATTTTGCTTTAAGCCTTAGAAAGTACTCGATTACTTTTTTTAAACAATGCTTCTTGAGGCCCATTTTAACTGGCTTAATTTAAGAATTTTCTGTCCTTTTATCTTTCAGTAATGACAAACTTTGAAACTAATAACAGATATGATATTAAAAATAACGCAGACCAGATGGTTTACATAGTAACTGAAGACACGGACGACTTCACCAGGAACGCTTACCGCACACTGAGGCCCTTCGTGCTCCGGGTCACGGACTGCACAGGCCGCGAGCTCATGACCATGCGGAGACCTTTCCGGTGCACCTGCTGCTGCTTCTGCTGCCCCTCAGCCAGGCAAGAGGTCAGAAAATTGAAATCTACACCTGTTTTCTTCCTGATCGAACCCTTCCTATGTGGTCGTGCTTGTTCCAAAACTACTCAAGGAGGGATTTCCCTGGCTCTGCCAATCAAATGGAAGGAGATAGTGAGGAGGGAGGAAGCCACATCGTTTCACCAAAGAAAATTACAGAAGGATTGTTTTCTTGAGCATTTGTGCTCCTTAAGTGCTACTTAGTGGTTCAAGCACAAATTAAGATTGTTTGGACAATAATTACAATTTTGTATTTGTATTTACATAGTGCCTGGCAAATAGTATAATGAATGTAGTCTCTGGCTCTAAATTCTGTTTTGTGAATATTGTTTGTGTAATAGCTTCATATTTAATGGGTTCTTTATTTCTCATTTTTCTTCCTTTTGGATATAGTAGACACTTTTATCTTATATTCAATTGGATTTTAATTTAAAATCTTTACATGCAGTGCGTTGAGCTCATAGGCAGCCGGGAGAGATAAAACCAAATACAAATGACAGATATAGTGCAACCTATCAAAATTTTGCCACAGAATTTGGAACAGGTATTTTGTAATATTTTTTACTTATTGGTGAGCATGTTTAGTTCTCACAGTTTTATCAGCTGTGTAACTTCTTGTACTCATCACCAGAACATACTTAACGAGACTTTCCGTCGCAAGCATCCTCCTTTCTAACCAGCCCTCTCTTCCCTCTTCTCTACCTCTTCCTGCAACTACTGAGCACTCCTACACCTCTTTAAGTTACTCAAGAGTGCTATGAAATATTGGGCATTATACAGTGTATTACAGTACCTCAGCACTATCCCATGCTACTTCCTTTCAGATGTACATGTATGTGTCAGTTACAATGAATTTAATTTAAATTTCTATAAATATTATAAAAACACATATTATATAACCTTTCAGAATTAGCATTTTAAACTCATTATCATGACACTGAGATTCACGCAGATTGCTACATAGATTAATACTTTATTCCTTTTTATGGCTGGCTTGCATACCATGCTGTGATTTTTTAAGTAATTTATTTTTATGTACAATGAGATTTTTATTATCATGTATATATTTTATTTTTGTATTTAGTACAGGGTCTACAGGATCTCACTACATAGATCAGACTCATTGTGATTTTCCTGTTTACAGCCTCCCAAGTGCTGGGATTACAGGCACTCACCACCACGCCCGGTCTCAGCACACCCCAGGGGGCAGGGCTGGCAGCACAGGCCCTGGGATTGAACTCCTAAGCAGGCACTTTAATCTGCTGAGCTATTTGGCCATCCCTGAGACTTTTAATCTCATAGCTTTGAATGTGTGTAAGATGTTGGTTCTAGGAGGCTATCACATTTGTATGTTTGTATATAGTTGTGAACATCCGAATTTCACAGGGCACAAAGGTGTGGCAGAAGAAGATCATAGTCATATAAATTTTATTAGCTAACTATTCTATTTTATTATTAATTATTGTTGTTAATCTCTTGCCATGCCTAAATAATAAACTAAACTTTAATATATATGGAAGGTGTACTACATAAATAATAGCTAAAACTATCCACACTTTCAGGCATCCACAGCGGGTCCTATCCCCAATGGATGAAGGGGAATACCCTATACAATTTTCACAAAGTTTCTTTTCATTTTTCATTGTTATACTGTCATTTGTGAAATCTGGTTTCACCTGATTTACTGTCTAAGAAGTTAGCCTATTACCGCTTCATGAACTGTGTCAGAAGAGTGGCAACTCCAAGATCGGAGACAAAGAGCCTTGACAAAGCAAACAGGCAAAATGGGCATCACTGTTTTTGTGTAGGTTGCTTTTGTCCTCAAGTTGTAAGGGGTTGACTCAGAGGAGCTGTGTAGGTAGGTGGGAGTGTACCTGTGGCTAAAACTACTGAGCTTAGACCGTTGAACCCTCTTATAGAAAGTGGTTATTTTAAAATTAATTGTATTAGCACATTTTTTACATACATCATGATCTCATTCATATGGGAAATTTGTATCTGTATATACTGTATCTTAAATCTTTTCTTTCTTGTTTCCCCTCCCTTTTCTTCAATCCTTTCCATTTGCAAAATTTTGTTTCTACTGTTTCCTTCTATACTGTCTCTCTCTCTCTCTCTCTCTCTCTCTCT